GTTGCAGAGTGGTTAGGGGAGTTGTCCTGTAACCGGTGGGTTGCTGGTTCGATCCCCCGTTCCAGCTGTCTCAGTCGTTGTGTCCTCGGGCAAGATACTTCACCCTCCTTGCCTACTGATGGTAGTCAGAGGTTCTGGTGGCGCAGTATGGCCCCACGGCAGCTGTGACTGCATTATCATCAGTGTGTGAATGTGTGTGTGAATTAACGATGTGTGAAACTCCAAAGCAGGCATCACCAAATGGCGGACCTAGGTCCGAATCCGGACCGAGTGTTGGTTCTGTCCGGACCCGTGCCCTATCTGATAAATTCACAAAATTATATAATATTCATGGAGCATTTTTTCCCAGCAAAAGTCAAGCAGAGTCACAGTTAGGAGGTTTAGAGGTTACGTCTACTACAGTTATTATGGTAACAGTGTTGAGCCAATCAAACCGTTTGTTTAGCCTGCGCAACCAATGCAGAGAGCTAACCAGAGAAGAGAAGAGGTGACAGTGCCACTATGAAACTAAGCACAGCTCTTTTGAGCAAATTTATCTGCTGAAGTCTGAGCAACTTGCACTTCAACTGAAAGCCTCCATYTCTCTAGGTTTGACTAGGCTTCGATATAAAAGCAAAAAATGTTATTAGGCTCTGTTTGCACTTATAAAATGTACTTTGTTCTGAGGTTTCTGTTTTCTGAAATAAAGGTTTTTAAATTATTTGCCTGGGACTACTTTTAAATATGGTAAAATAAAAAGTTGTCTACTATAAAGTGCCGTTTGTTAGTAGTGAAAATATGAACATATCAGATCAAGACCGTAAAAGACAAAAGTCGGACTTTTGTTCGGACCTTTTACTTGTGGAAAGTTTAGCAACTGGACCTCAGYGAGTTTTAAWTGAATACCCCTGCTCTAAAGCATGGGTGTCAAACTCATTTTCACCGAAGGGCCACATGAGCGTTATGGTGRCCCTCGAAGGGCCACTTGTAATGAACTTTGATGTTTCATGTTTAACTTTGACTAAACAGAGTTTTAACACGTCCTCTTTTAAACACTGATAAGAACTAAGTGTGTGGCTGACTAAATCTGTAATAAATACAGAAATATTAAAAGTAAAACAAAAAAAGTTTTACTCACTGCTGAGTTTCTATGGCAGATTTAGTTTATGTTTAATGGTGACTCTAAAGCAGCTTATTTTCAGACATTAGTACTGTACTATCCAACTAAAT